AATTGAATTCATATATACCTTTTGTTATTGAACACACACACACACACACACACACACACACACATATATATATATATATATATATATATATATATATATATATATATATATATGTATGTATATCCTTTGAATTCATACATACCTTTTGTTGTTGAACACGTGAACACATATTTGTTGAATTCATACATTTTGTATGACAATCTGTATGTTTTTATAATTATTCAGGAACTTCATCCATCATTGTATAGAACAGCAGGGTAAAATGGTCATTTTACATCAGTCAACACATTCAGTCAGATATACAATCAAACAATATGGTTTCTTACTTAGTTAGAATTTATTACCTAGACATGCCTTTTCCAGTAAGCACTTTCTCAATCATTAACAATCAAACGGGACTTTACTTGAGCTCCGGTTGAGTGCATGCATCGTGTTAGGGCCTAGATCCTCAATCCTATTCAGGATCCCGGATCTCAAACATATCTAAGGATCCTTAAACCTATCTAGGATCCCGGATCTTAAAGGAGTCTTAGGATCCCGAACATACATCAGAATCCTGAACATCGCCATTAGTATTTCCTAACAAGTTTAACAGCTAGATTTATTGCTTATTTCTCACATGTGCAGAAATGGTCAACATAAGACTCATTCACAACGAAGAATCACTTCAACCAGGCTTAAAATTCGGGAATACAAAGTCAAAGCACGTTGCAAATACCAGTTCAACAGGATCCCGGAAATATCAGACTTTTAGTAACTTAACCTAGACTATATATACATTTGTAAAACATACACAACTGGCAAAACCTTTTGGCACCTTACAGACCTAGAGCTAGGTAAACACTTGTAATCGTATTTCTATCATCATTTCTGTAATTTACATTCAAATCAATAAGATCATACAACGTAGGTGATCATTATCACCTCCCAAGGTTTTATGTCGTAGATCCTAGCAACGATCAAGGGCTTTCCTTGTAAACCACTCGTGTTATTTTTATCTCAATTCAGTACTCACATTATTCACAACACCACAGCCTCTCATTCAATTTGGTTAAAATCCTCTTAGTCGATTTTTGATCAAAACAATTTGGTGCCTACCGTGGGGCCATGGTGTTCATAATTCTCGAAAACAATGTTTACACAACCAACCCTATCTTTTTCCTCTATTCCTCCTATTTCTTCAACATATATTCCACCACCTCCAAGCGGAACCCCTGGTCAAAGGAAAACTTCCAATGCGTCGAAGAAGAAATCTTCTCCAATCGCTATCCATGGGAATCCAGGATCCTAGGATCCTCCTGCTTCGATTTCTAACAAGAAATCTTCTCCACGATGAAGACGTTGACGCGACAGGTGGCTCAGCAACAGGAAGACAACAAAACACTACTCAAAGAGGTGGAAAGGATAAGGGCAGAGATTCGTAAAACCTAGGAGGCGACACCCTCAATCGTGTAGCCCATGATCCTTAATTTTGATAACACAGGATCCTTAGGGAAACATCCAGAGACTACAGCTCCAAGATCCTCCGTCGTTTCGACTTGGGGTGTAACCCCACCCAATCAAGCTCATATGATTTAGGATCTTGACGAAACTTTCACTACTCCTCATAATAAAAACGCTAGTAACTTATTGAATAATAACGCCTTTTATACTAACTCAATAGATCTTGATGCAAGGATAAGTCCGATCATGGCTAGGAAACTTCAAAAACTCAGACATATGATCTCGAGCGTACCAGGAATGGTCCAAGCTATACTGAAAGTATCCCCCACAAGCCACATGATCTCGAGATTCGCTTCAGCTATAGCCAATACTAAAGTTCCAAAATGATTATGGACTCCCAGCATGAAGCCTTACGATGGAACTACGGATCCTGAGGAGCACATAGCAAAATACAGGGAAAGGATGGAAATCATCTATGTTCCATCACACTTAAAAGAAACCTATTTATTCAAGGGTTTTGGTTCCACTCTCACAACATCAGCCTTGAAATGGATTATCAATGACATTCGAAAGGATCACTAGTGATCTCTATCAAGTGCTCCAGAATCCTAAGGAATCTCTTTGGGATTTTGTAAGCAGATTTGGCAAAGACGTGTTGTAACATCCCAAAAATACAAATACTTTTTTTTTAAATTCATTCCATTCACAAGAAACTAATACCAAAGTATTCAAAAGAGAGACATTGTATCATAATATCAGAGTAAAAATCCCAAAATCACTAAGTGTGGAAAAACATGGAGTGATGCGGTGCGATCTAGTCGAGCCCTTCCCCTTCGAACTAGAGGTACCTGAAACAGAAACTGAAAACTGTAAGCACAAAGCTTAGTGAGTTCCCCCAACATGCTACATACTAATCAAACATACTACATAAACATACTGAACAAACATAGTGCCAAGCATATATGGGTGTTGGCTTACCCCTTCGGTCTATTTCAACCGGATACTGCCAAGCATATCTGGGTGCTAGCCTAACCCTTTGGTCTATCTCAACTGGATATTGCCAAGCATATCTAGGTGTTGGCCTACCCCTTCGGTCTATTTCAACCGGATATTGGGTCAATTTCACCCCCTACTACTACCACATAATATCATAACAGTAATCACCGAGTCATCATACAAATACAGACGTGACTATAAATTATCAAAAAGACAATCATCATGTTATAACATAACTAATGGGTCGTCCCTGGTGCCTTCGAGCCACGACGACTGCGAAGGAAGACTCACCTCAAACTGTGGGTGTCAAATCGTACTCATCGAATGACTCGCGAACTCCTCTCCCTATCGCACAAGCATAAAATCCTAATCAGCAATTAGGTCACATTCTAACCCGAAGGTCTAAAACCTTATTCCGTAACTTAAGGCAAAAAGGTTCCTTTACCTTTGCCTTATTGGGCCTCCCCCCTCCAAGGCCCAAATCCATGACAACCCAAAAGTATCCAAGCCCAACCAAAAGGCTTCTAAGGCCCAATATGGCCCAAAGCCATCTAACATGGTCATAGGCCCAAAATTCCTTGTTACAACAGGTGAGCTTGAGGCCCAAGCTAAACAAGTCCAGGGCCCAACAAAACCGAAAGCCCAAAATCCTTTTTGCCCACTGTTTGTGTACGCGCGGCGTACTCAGCATGTACGCCCAGCATACACTGGTGTTGACTCAGAATCGGGGTGTTGACCCAGTACGCGCAACGTACATGGGAGTACGCCCAGCGTATTGGTCTGCCAACCCAAAACCACCTCCATGACTTATTCCATTAGGACCTAACGCCCAAAACTTAGATCCAGGTCCCTAGGATCGTCCTAAGCCATAAAGTTGCAAACTTTTGTAGGTTCCCATTTTATTGATTGGATCGGTGTGGAAGATATTACCAAGAAGATAATCGTGTATGAACATGATGAACAAGATATGTGAGTAAAACTGTAGTAGATAAATAGAGAGATATAAAATATTACAAGAACACTGGGAGAGATCCCACCACACTCTCTCTAAACTACAAAGTCTACATAGTGAACACTTACAATAAAATGACCATCACATCCACTTTATATACTAGTGGAAGGAATATACTTTTCATACAAGGGAATATTCTAACCTAATAAACGCTCAACATTGTAGAGCATTTTCATGCTCCAACAATCTCCCCCTAAATGGTCGGAAATGGTGAGGGTAATGTAGTGATAAAAGGCAGAACATCTGACAGGCAGGTCCGGTAGGTCTGGTGCTGAAGCGTCTCGGAAGTGTTGAAGCTGTCGTGATCTCAGAATATAGCAATGGAATCTCTAGCATCAAAGAACAAACAGAGAAACCCCAATCTCTGAATAAAAGTATGAAATCTCAATCTTCGAATGTGATCAGTCCCCAAAAACCAATCATGTTCACAGTCTCCCCCTCGACTGTTGAACCGTAGAGCACAATGTCGAATCACACAACGTCTTCAGTATTCCGAACTCGAGTGATAATGCACCAAATAATCTCTGAAGAATAACCTGCTGAAAATGTGAAGTATCCAAAATAATCGGTATTAAAAAATAATGGGTGTTAAATAAATCTAATTGGTTTAAAAATAAAATCAAGGAATAAATTGGTTATAATAAAAAACTTAAAAAGAAATGGGTTCTAAAAAAAATGAAACAAAATAAAAGGAATGGATGAATTTCGAAGTTTAAAGGGGTACGAAGTGGGTTTTGGGTTGGGTGAGTCCGAGACAGGGAAAGTGGATTCACAATATTGATCCACATATGGTCTCGGAGTTTAATTGCGAATGGGTGGGTCCAAATAGAACATGAGACCGAGATGAATATAGAAAATGAATCTCGGAATAGCTGTATCCAAAAGAGTGATTCGGAGGGTCCGAAATGAGCAATATGGATTCACAATGAATTTTTGGGTCCGGGATGGCTGTTTGGTCTCGGAAGAGTGATACCCGATTAGGAATTAACATTGTTCTGTTTAATTCAGTATTTCACCAAAACCAAAATCGAACCAAAATTTTCAAATTTTAGGTCAGAAAACACATAGATTAAAATATTTGGATTCGCTTAGTTCCCTCATAAAGCTAAAATCTGATAAATTGACGTTAGAATAAATTTTAACATGATGCAGTTTTTCACTAAAACTAAAATCAAGCAAAAAAATCGGTTTTGCACTTTAAAAATACTTTATAAAAAAGTTTTAGTTTGAGCTTTTTCACTTTTCAATTGCTTTCAACCTATTGAAAAAGTTGTCTTTTCTTTTTCGAAAAATAAAACTAATGAAAAAACTCTTAAAAAAACTCCTATTGTGGACATCTAAAACATTACAAGGATTTCTTCAAGAGCAAAAGTCCCAAGTGAATCCACAATATAACCCTTCGACACCTACCAATTTGGCATCCCAAACACTAGAATGAAACAGAATCAAACCCCAATTCCAACACACCCCTATAAAACTAACAACCAAAAAAAACGAAGAAACATAAAGTGATTATAAAATTGCATAAAAAAACTGTTGAAATAGCATACGTGAAAACGATAACTCCCAACTTTCTGCCTACAAACATAATAAACTCTCTTCGATATGGGCAACATTTTTCATTTTTGTACAGTCACAAAACTACCACCTTTTTTCCTTTCCAGTCATCTTTACACCTCTTTCAAGAACAAACACACACTGTCATCATCATCATCATCATCATCATCATCATCATCATCATTATACTGCCTCTGCATTAGCATCAGGAGCCTTACAAAAAGACCCCTAAAGCGTCTCAGATTCTTATAAACTATGTATATAAACCTTAAAAAAACTACAGAATTTACAGTTTTCACGTACAAGCAAACTTTATTTGCAAATTTGGCCCTTATCTATTAGAGCCTCTTTCTTCTACTAGGAGAAAGACACAGTGATGAAAAAGGGTAGCTCAAACTAGCCTTCGTTAGCTGTACAACTTCGTTTCCTATGCCTCCTCCTCCTCCTCCTCCTCTTATGTTGCATGTAGCAACTGTGCAGCAATTCTCCTTTCTACAATCAATAGAAAGAAATTAAAGTAAGATGCTTATAACAAACAAATACAAAAAAAAAAATGAAAACATACCTCCAGCAGCAACAAGTTTCTCTACACGAGCTACAATATGTTTTCCATAAGTGTATTTTTTAAGCGCATTCAAATGAACCTTAATTCGGGACAATATGTGCTCACGTTCTTGGTCACTACAAGTTTCAAGTACTTTTTGCACCACATAATTTGCAAATTGGTCCTTCATCATTGCCTGAATACAAAAAGAAACCCAAACATTACACATAACTCAAAAAAAAAACATGAAACTTTATAAAAAAATGAAAATGGAGGGAAGGAAAAAAAAAACCTGAAGAGGCTCATTTTCATCAGTAGTACCAAGCATCTCATTCACAAGTAGCTGGCGTTCACTTGCATCACCAAAAGTCAAACATTTTTCAACAACATTTGATGCAAACTTCTGTTGACTCATTTGTACAATCTTCCCAGCTAATTCTTGAATTATTATTGATCGTTCATTCGGTTTTCCATGTTCCAACACATGCTGTTTCAAGAAAGTTGAAGAAAAATAAGCATGATTTCAAGAAAGCTTCCAAGATATTCAAATTTAAAACAAAGCTAAAAATCACCTGAACAACATAATTTCCATACTGATCTTGTGCTAGCATGCTTACACAGTTAAGTATTTCATCCATCACCTTGCTCTGTGTTTTTGGATCCTCACAGTGCTCAAGCACCCTCTGGAAATCACCAAAAGTTTATTAATATTCTCAATTATTTGAAGATAATCAAAAGTTATAACAAAGATTATCAGTATTTCTAACCTGTATGACACGACACCCATATGGATGGGTTGAAAGGGTGACAACTTGATCATAGAAAGTTGTTATAATGAACTGAATGTGATCTTCAGGAACACATTCAATGCATTTTTGAATAACATGATTCCCATTTTGGTCACGTACACAACGCATGATGTGGCCATCAAGCTCCTCCACCATCTTGATCTTTTGGTCCATGTCAACAACTTCAATTGCCTATCAATCAATTACATCAAAAAGATTAATCTCTAATTCCATTTCATTATGTAAATTGAAATGGAATGCACGATTCCATTCCTTATGTGATTCCCACGTACCAAACTTTACCTTTTGAATAACTCGACAGCCATACATTTGAAGGCTAAGTGTCAAAACATGTCCCATTAGCTTTCCAGCCAATTCCCTCCTTTGTCCTTGCATTCCATGCTCAAAGAACTGAAACAACAACAATCAAGCAATCAAAAAAAAGACGAATTTTTCATGTTGTAAATTTGTAATTTGAAAATAAGAATATAAATTATTCACAAAACCTTTTGAATCACATAATTTCCAAACACATCAGTCATCAAAGTAAGAGCCTGAGGAAAAATCTCCTGAAACACCATGTTTTTGTCTTCTGTAGTTGCAGTTTCAAGTTTCTGTTGAATGAAACGGCTTCCATACTGGTCCGCACTAATAAAAAAAAATCAAATATAAATTTTTCATGAATAAAAACAAAAAGAAAAGAAATTGGATTTTTGTATGGAAATACCTGAACTCAACAACATGACCTGTGATTTCAGAAAGCTCAAAACACTTGGTTTTATTACTCTTAAACTCTTCTAACAAAGAAGAAGCAAAGGTATTATCACCACCATCTAAATGCCAATGTCCCATCACACCACTTCCCCCACCTAAATTTCTCATTTGAGGAGAGTATCGTGTGTTAAGTTCACCAAGCCTAATCGGGCTGCCCGGCCCGCCCGGAGAATTGGGCAGTGGGCTTGCTAACGGGCTACCCGGATACGATAACCCAACCCCAAAACCCGGGTTCCCATAATACCCATGATGATGTGGACTAGCAGATGCCCCTACATATTGAACACCACCATACTGTGATTTTTGAGGGGGCAATAAAGTTCCTAAATATGCTTTTTGAAGGAGATCGGTGTATGAATTCCTGAGATTGTAATTCCGGTCAATAGTCGGGTCATTCAGGGCAGCAATTTGGGCAGCAGCAGCGTATTCGGTTGATCTTAAGTACTGGAGATACATCGGGTCCATGAAAGAAGCTTGGAGTGCGTTTCCAGTCATTTGGTTTCCCATTCTGTTCATGGCTTGTGATTCCAAAGTGAATCGCGATTCCATTCCGGGGTACGCCATGGCGGACGCTGCTGCTGCGGTTTCAAAAAGTGGTGGGAGGTTTATGTTTCCGTGCTGATTGGACATCATTTGTGGTGAATTTATGGAGTATCCACCGTCGAATTGCAAGTTACTTGAAGATCCATCAAAGTACAAGTTATTATTCTTGTTATTTTTCTGATTCCGATGATAAAAAGCATTCTGATCATCGGAATTAGGCTCATCAATCACACCGTTTGAGAGATTCATGGCGGAAAGAGCGTTGACCAAGTCAGATTGGTCTTTGGGGTGAGAAGTGGGCCCATTGAATAAGTTTGGGCTATTAGGGTTTCTTCTATCGGGCGGGTTGACCCGCCCACCCCCTATTGGGGTAGGGATGGGGCTAGGTACCCTAGCAATGTGTTGGGGGTCAGGGGTGGTGCTTCTTGATAAAGAAGCACCTAAAGCTGCAGCATAAGAGTATGAGGTTGGTGGGCCCTTTGTGCCATGTGGCTGTGCCAGCTCAGCATCTACTGGACCAAGGGTTTCATCGGGATTTTCAAATGCAGTACGGCTCGCAGGTCGAGACGGGTGTCCGGAATGTGGAGCAGATCGGCTCAAATCATCCTGCATAAATAACCACATTTTAGTTCTTTCACTGGAATGGAATTGACAGGTAAAGGAATTGGTGATTACATTCCATGATATGTTTGGTTGGTTTGTAGGTAAAAATTTATACTATATGTAAACACATTAAAAATTACTTAATAAAAATGGTTATATTGCAAATCCAAACAACCGATATGTGAAAAAATCAAAAATTGACACCCCATAAGCAATGGTTTTCTTCCTCATACAAGCATAATGTTATCATTGGTAATATAACTGAAGTTCATTTTATGTCATATACATCAAAAATTGATGTAAAAAATAAATAATTACCTGGAAAATTTCAGCAAGGCTCTTTTGTTTACTACCTAATCCTAAACCAGGCAAACCGATCAACCCATCGCCGCCCCACTCAGCTGAAACCTTGACTTTCTCGGCATCGGAGTTATCATTCTCCTGTTTCTTTGAGTTAAAACCAGGCGGCATAGAAAAAAGCGACATACCGCCGCCGCCACTTCCGCTGCCACCGCCGCCGTCGGTCCTATTTGCTTTCCTTCTATCTCCGATCCCGCCCAAACCCGAACTTCCACCGCCCTGCAACCTCTGAGTAAACCGCCAATCTTCTTTCGACAATAGTGGTGGTGGCAATCTAGGGTTTAAATTCACGTTTGAATAATAGTAAGATAAGTAAGCTGGGTCAGCCCTGAGTTCTTCCTCGGACGTGAATCCATTGCCGCCGGCGAATTCAGAGAAAGGTAGACCGTTGTTTTGGCCATGATTAGTGTTAAATAGACCACCGACTGCACTTAACGAACCCTCTACCGTGGGCGGTGCTGAGCCACTCCGATACATGTTTAGCTCCTTTTCACGATCATCGGCTTCACGTCTTTGTTCACGTAGCAACAATCCTATCTCCTCGAATTCGTCTCCGAATGAACCATCGCCGCCGCCACTGATCATAGGTCTCCTACCCAATTCGGATAACATCTTGACAGATGAAATTATGCGTTCATAGCTCAAAGAGTAATACAAAACTATGCAAATTATACCAGGAAAGGAGAAATAATTCACAAAATTAAGAAACTCAGATGATTACACAGAGAAATTATGTCTGCTTACACTATAAAATCGAATCTTTGATCACTCACGTACCACAAACCCTAAAAACCCTAAGCAAAACAAAATTAAGGAATATAAATTGAACACCAAAGAGGCTAAAAATCAGCACTTAAAACCCATAAAGATCAAAACTTCGATCAAAAAACAGAACAGCTGAAACACGCTTACACCTTGAACAAAAAATTTTGATGATCAAAGAACAAAGACGAATGGAAAACAAAAAAGAACAACTTTTGGCAACATGTTCAACTGGTTTCACATTGGATTGCAAAAACAGCAACTTCGGAGAAAAGGGTTGCCAAAAAACAAGAAATATTTAGGTAAATGAAAACCGATGATGATGAAGGTTCTGTTTGAGTTACATGTATCAAGAAAAACTGAGAGCAAGAAGTGAAAGAGATCGATCCGGCGGCGAATTGGTTCTTACAAAGAACCCCTTTAGGGTTTTGTTTTTCAACTACTCACTACTATGAAGAGATTAAATACAGTAACTTGGGTTTTTTCTTTTTTTTTTCTTTTTTGTTTATAATATTCTTTTCATAATTTTTATTTTTGGAACTTTAGTTGTGTCTGGATCTGGGCTATATTTTTGTTCGTAGAAAGTGATAAATCAGTAAAGGAATATAATTTTGGCAGGGGCTTGATTGACCAAGTGACAAATATCTTCTAATGGATAGATAAGAGAAAAATGGTATTCTTCTAATTTATATCCATTTTAAGATGTTAAAAATTCAAAATAATGTATTCTTATATTGGAATTTTACAACGTAATGTATTATAATTTATTAGTCGATTAACTGCATTACATAATCATTATATATATATATATATATATATATATATATATATATATATATATATATATTAAATCTAAAGAAGCTTAGCAATAGTAAATATTTTCTAATGGATAGATAAGAGAAAAATGGTATTCTTCTAATTTATATCCATTTTAAGATGTTAAAAATTCAAAATAATGTATTCTTATATTGGAATTTTACAACGTAATGTATTATAATTTATTAGTCGATTAACTGTGTTACATAATCATTATATATATATATATATATATATATATATATATATATATATATTAAATCTAAAGGAGCTTAGCAATAGTAAATATCTTCTAATAGATAGATAAGAGAAAAATGGTATTCTTCTAATTTATATCCATTTTAAGATGTTAAAAATTCAAAATAATGTATTCTTATATTGGAATTTTTACAACGTAATGTATTATAATTTATTAGTCGATTAACTGTGTTACATAATCATTAATATATATATATATATATATATATATATATATATATATATATATATATATATATATATATATTAAATCTAAAGGAGCTTAGCAATAGTAAATTTTTTTACCTTTAGGTTTTTACCACAAGTATTTAGTGAATTTGACACTTTTAGTCCCTAAAGTCAAAATTTTTACATTTTTATGTTTTGATTAAGTTTTTGTGACTTTAGATTTTTGACATAAATCTTTAATGACTTTGACACTTATAGTCCTTGCAGCCAAAAGTTTACATTGTGGTGTTTTTGCCACAAATCTTTAATGAATTTGACATTTTTCGTCCTTGTAGTAAAAACTTTTACATTTTGACATAAAAAACACAAAAAAACCTCATTTAGAATTTTACCACCATATTTTTCCAACTTTGGCAACTTTAACATTATTGCCACAACATTTTTGGATTTTCTCTACCAGTGTCCCTTCTTTTATTTTGTATACTTTTAACATCTAATTTTAAGGGCTGTCGATTTTCTCTCCTATTTGTGGTGATTTACAATTTTAACACATATCTTTTAAAGTTTGCTCATTTATTCCATATTACCCTAAAAGCGGCGTAGCCGCGAGTACTTTGCTAGTTGTTATGATTTTGAAGTTAAGCATCCAAAATATGTTATGATGAAAACTAGATGAAATAAGACCTATTTTTCATAAACTGTTTTCTTGAAAGACAAAATTGCAAGAATGGTCCCTGTGGTATATCAAAACTAGCAACTTTGGTCCAAAATGGGTTTGGCTCGCAAGGATGGTCCAATAGTTTCGTTTTGTTGCGAGTTTAGTCCAAAAATTTTAGAACTTTTTATAATGACGGATTTGCCCTTGGTATTTTCCCTTTTTTAATTTTTTTATTACAGAAATCAAAAAAAGAAAAAGAAAAAAAGAAAATATATATCTCTCTCTCTCTATCTCTCTCTCTCTCTCTCTCCAGAAGACAATCCACAAAAACACCATCATCATCTTTTTTACATATCTTCATCTTCTTTAAAAATCAAAATCACGCCCCTGAAACAATTTGGGGTTTGTTTTTTTTATCAAGAACTCCACATACAAACAAATACACACTTAAGAATACTTTTTATAATCGATCTAGAAATCATCAATAATGGATTCACCAACCTGTAATGTCATCGACACCCCTTTACTTCCATTCGTCCTTCAAGCTTGATAACAATCATAGTTCCAAAGGGTTTGTGATGTCGAGATCTTGTGAGACCCTAGTTATTGTGCTAATCCATCAATTGCCCTGCCTTTTGTGATCTGCTAATGAAGTCATTGATTCCACCATCATCACAGATAGGCTAAACTAATGTCATTACCACCCCCGATGAGGTTTCTGACCCAAATCTGGAAGGTTTGTTCCCTCCAACAACACCTCTAAAATACATGAGAGATAGAGAGATCTGATTTTGTTGTGTGTGTATGTTCATCTGATTATGTGTGTGTTATATCTGATTTTGTGTGTGTTCATCAGATATGGGCGAACTCAAGATCAAACCACAACCGATGCCGTCAAAATCCCTTCCTCGACCTCCCTTTCATCTCCAACTCGTATATCTCCCTCGTTTCTCACTTCTCCGGAGAAGAGAGCCACCACAGTCGACTGTGGCAGCTCCTCCGCCTCCCCCTGTCGTGACCCACCACCATCCAACATCCCAAATCCAAATCCACAATGGGTGTTATTCGTTCTTGTTTCCCGATTCCAGTCTTTTAGTTTTCTTTTCCCCAAAATCTCATGGTCCCATGGAAGAAACGTTTCTCATCGAGAATCAGAACCCTAAAGTCAATTTAAGCGAAGTAGAAGATGAAACAACTTCATAAATCGATTCACTTCCAGATGCCAAATAGAAGATGCGAATATCTTATTTACAAGCGATACTTGTACAAGCAACTACGGATGGAGTTGTGAAGGTGAAGAAGAAGAAAGGTCAACGAAGAGGGGAGGATTTCACTTTGTTGTAGAAATTAAAGAAAGTCGATTTCTTTACTCATTTTCTTCTCTTTAGTTCTCGGATGACTATAATCAATAATCTTTATGTTACAAAAACCTTCATATCTTTGTTTTCATGATTAGTATTTGGAACCTTCTTGGTTCGTGGGAGGAAGAGAAATCAGGGGCGGTGGTGATTAAGTAGGAATGGTTCCGATTAGAAGGAGACGGTGGTAGTGACGTTAGGAAGGAGGAGCTGGAGGAGAGATTGGTGGTGGTGATTTTGGGAGTTTGATTTTGGTCAATATTGTCTAGTTCCCGAGAGAGAAAGAGAGAGAGAGAGAGAGAGAGAGAGATTTTATTTTTGTTTTATTTTATTTTTAATTGTTTTTTAATTGTTGTAATAAAAGAAAATTGAAAATAAAATAATAAGGGGAAAATCCTATTGGATTAGTGTCTAAGTCAGTAACTATATTTGGTAAGTACTTGACCCGGTTGTGCATGGTCCTTTTGGGTTGCCTTCACCATAGCAACTTGACAGGGTGATTTGTGAAGAGAGAAGAGATATTATTATATTAATATATTATGAGAATAATATATTAAAGGAATAATAATATTATTTAATTAATATTAGTCATAAATTAATTAGGAATTAATTTGGTGACTAAAAGAGGTTAATTGAATAAAGGGGCTTAAACTGTCAAATGTGTGATAGTTGTGTTCTTGGGCTATGAATCCTTATAGATCTTAGGGTGGCCGAATTTAGGGTTATGGACTCCTTGAATTCGTCCAAGCCTCAATCTAGAAGGATCATTGGATTGCTTAGGGCCTAAGTTATTCAATTAGGGTTAAGGATGTAACCCTAGTAGCTCATAGTATAAATAGACCCCATGGGTAGGGGAAATCGGCCACCTTGCTTCCTTGGGAACCCTAGAGCCTATTTCTACACCTCTTCCCTCTCTCCAAATTCAAAACGAAGTACAAATCAAAGTTCAATCAAATCAAAAGCCAATTCAAAGTCAAATCTGGGGAATGAAGAACTGTGTGATATGATACTTGTGGCTCTCGAAAAAGTGAAAGCATAGGAGCTGGGCCCCTTCGGGTGGGCTCACTGTTTCAGCGAAAGCTGATTCGCCGTGACGGGTTCTTAATGATGCGTCGATTCTGATTCTTGGCCATCTAGTCTTAAGGACATGAAATCCCGGACCGTGTTATTTTCGCCCATAAAGCTAATTAAGGTATAAAGTTTAAATAAAACTATGGTTGGATTATTGGGTTACACTGTTTCGTGGTCTTCCTCACTTTGGGAGTCTGTGATATGTGGAAGGTATAGGATGGTCGCCTAGGTATTAATGATTGGAGCCCCATTGATGTAAAGTTTGATCATATTTATATATATTTATAAAAAAATAAATAAATTACTTGTCTTCTTAATTTTTTTTTTCTTTGGTTCATTTTGTTTCTTAAGTATCTTTTGTACATATGTTTCTTTTTCATAGTTTTCATTGCATGCATTCATTCTTAGCTTTTAGGATCTTCCTGTCCCCGTTTGTTCTATATTTCATTTTCCATCTAGAAATCGTCATGTTTATCCGGTTCTTGTTCTTTCTTGAGGACAATAAAGGTCTAAGCTTGGGGAGATTTGTTAGGTGCAATTTGTGCACCTTTTTGCACACCTTTTAGTCCCATTTCATGCATCTATTTAGCATAATTGCCCTTCATTTGTCTTGCATTTCATCATATTTCATGTTAGTCTCTAGAACAACCTTAGTTGCACATTTTCATGTCTTTTTCAGGTAAACCGGAGGTTGGAACACGCTTTGGGAAGTGTCGGGAAGCATTGGTGAAGATTTCGGGATGATCGGGCGAAGAACGAAAAAGTTGGAAAAATCAAGTTTGGATTCGGAGTCAGAGGGGTACACGGGCCGTGTTGGATTTACACTGAAAAATCAACACGGTCCGTGTTGACCAAAATGGGAGCTGTTGACCATGCTGAACACGGGCCGTGTCAGTTTTACTCTATGTCCAACACGGGCCGTGTTGACCAAAATGGGAGCTGTTGACCATGCTGAACACGGGCCGTGTCAGTTTTACTCTATGTCCAACACGGGCCGTGTTCGACCCAGAAACCAACTTTTGGCAGTTTTTCCTATCTTTCATATTACGGGTTGAGGGCCATTTTTACAAAGACACAACATATCAGACCACCATTGGAGAGGAGAATT